CCTCCGTCGTCTCCCCTCCCCCGGCCGTGTACTGAGAATATAAAAATGAGGTAGTCTGGGTAAGGCCGGATTTACACCTTGTGCGCCCCTAGACACCCCAGTGGCCAGGAGTGGCAGGGTACCTCCACCGCCCGTGGCAGCTTGGAGCTCTGAACTAGCATGGGCAATGGGGGGTACCCCGCCACTTTTAACTTTTAGGTGCCCCACCGCACAGCCCCACCACCACAACTGCCCAGCACCCTGTCTAGACCCCCCCCCACTTCCCAGCACCCCAACACACACAGACCTCCCCCTTCCCCATCCCCTCACTGCCCAGAGCCTCTCCACAAACCACCCCAGAGACCCATTCTCCCATGCCCTACCCCCAGCCGCACTTACCAGACTGTAGTCTACATTTTCCAAAACAAGTAGCGATTTTGGGTTCTTATCTTAACATCTGAAAGAAGTTTGATTTTTTTTTGTTTGTTTTTTTCCAGTGGGTACACTCAGTAATTTATGAAAATCCAACTGTTTTAACATGTCTCAAATTTGGCACCTCCACATTCACTAATCGCTTTTGAAAAGTTAGGCCAGCAGATTTACATACCTAATACAGCTCTACCCTGAACCTTACATGGGTGGGGGTGGGAGTGGGGGGAGGGACGCTAGGGTAGATAGGTCAGGCCCAAGATGGGCCAGCCTTACTCTGCTGGCACCTCCATCCTTCAGTGCACTTCCCGATATTAATTCTTTTCTAGACAAGACAAGACAAAAACAAAGACAACCTTAACCAGGCTATTTTAACTGAGGGATTTGGTCCTGCTTCGAGCAGGGGGTTGGACTAGATGACCTTCTGGGGTCCCTTCCAACCCTTATATTCTATGATTCTATGATTTTAACAACTATCATCCAGATGTCAATGACACTTACTGCTGAAGTGAGCTGTAGCTCACGAAAGCTTATGCTCAAATAAATTTGTTAATCTCTAAGGTGCCACAAGTCCTCCTTTTCTTTTTGTGAAACTCCTGTGTTATATGTCTGTGAACAACATGTGTAGAATACAACTGCTCAGCTCAAAAAAACCACCATTAAACTAACATTTTTTTTCCAAATAATTTTCCTGCAGAAAACCTTTTGAAAACTTCCTGGTTAGTCATGCTTTGGAGTGATGAGCTGCGTGCCCTGTAGTCTGCTTGTAGCATTACGTTTTCCTGTCTGAATGCTAGCTATTCAGCAGAATTAAAACACTTCCTTTTACTGATATGATCTCTTTTTGTAATTAGATATAGTTCATATTTTTGTTTTATGTTGTATCTGAATACTCAGTGGGGCCCAGCTGATAGTACTTTTAATATTGTTTTATCCTTCATTCCGGTCTTTGTATCCATAAACTAATCTCTGGGCTGCTAATGCCCTGTGTATCCTGAGCACAAGTAACAATATGATCCTTGTGCTGGCCCTGGCTACCCTGGTTGAACCATCTAGCGAGAGCTGTTATCTCCCCTTATGTAAGAACTGTGCTGCCAAAACGAATGTTTATGGGACTCCTTTCTGTGAGATCCTAAACACCACCACCACCCCCATCTCCTACTGGTTTCAGCTAGAGCTGATGGCAGTCAGCGCCTCACAGGAACTGGCCCTATGACATTATGTAGATAGGACTTAGTGATTTTATACCATGTTGAATTTAGACAACCTCATACACCAGTATTACTGAATCAGCTTATTTATTTGTATTACTGTAGCACCTATGGGCCCTAGTCATGGACTAAGACCCCGTTGTGCTAGGTGCTATGCAAATGTAGAATACAAAGATGGTCCCTGCCTCAGGAATCTTACCGTCTAAGTAATACTCTTAGACTTTAAGGTCTATGATCATGATCTATGGCTCTACGCTGACCTTCTGGATATTGCAGGCCATAGAATCTCACCCACCCACCCACTCCCTGTAGTAGACCCCTAACCTGTGGCTATTTTACTGAAGTCCTCAAATCATGATTTAAAGACTTCAAGTTACAGAGACTCCACCATTGACTCTAGTTTAAACCTGCAAGAGACCCATGCCCCATGCTACAGAGGAAGGTGGAAAACCCCCCAGGGTCTCTGCCAATCTGATCTGTGGGGGAAATTCCTTCTTGATGCCAAATATGGCATTGCGTTCCCACACACCTGGGAAAGACCTATCTGTAGTAACTCAGAGCCCTCTTTATGTAGTGTCCCATCACCAGCTCTTGGAGATATTTGCCAGCCGTTGCAGATCAGCTGCATGCCATTGTAGACAGTCTCTTCATACAAAATCAGCCATAATTTTATCAAGCTCAGCTTTGAAGGCCAGTTAAGTTTTTTGACCCCACTGCTCCCCTTGGAAGGCTCTTCCAGAACTTCACTCCTCAGGTGGTTCTAAACTTTCACCTAATTTGAAGCCTAAACTTGTTGATGGCCAGAAGGACTCTGTTAAAGTTCGCAGGCATGAGCAATCTATGTGATCTTTGCCCTTCGCTTCAATGGGAGGAGGATTAAGCCCGTAAATTTCAGTGTTAATAAAATAACAATTACCGTTTATGCAACAGAGAACCTACTGCAGTGCTGTTCTCCCATTCTGCATCCCTGTTCCTCTAGTCAGGAGACTGCTTATGGAAATTCACAAGCATCCTGTCTTTCCAGTGCTTCAGAGAACATTATGCTTGCTCCCAGGAACAGAATAAGCAGACTTCAAGTAGCTTGACATGCCTTTCAGCATTTGAAACCAAGCCAAACCAAAACAGGATAATCTTCATAGGAAGTGATCTAAACCTCATTGCCTGAGATATTTAACACTGCACTGGACAAGTCAAATGAGCTAATAGAACTTTTCTATCTCTCAATCTATAACTCTCTCATTAAAAATTGGTAGGTCTAATTTTAGTTCTTGGGTGTCCTTTTTAACCATCTTTTTTAGCATTAATTAAGTCTCTCTTTGTAGTTAATTAAATTGCTGCTTTATTCAAAGTTATGAATTTAATCAATTGCATTATGGTATTCCCAGGAAATAATAGATTTTCTAATGTTCTTTCAGCAAACAAAATTAGCAACACCTTAGCAATTTCAACATATCCCTGTAACTAAATGTCTTGAACTCAAGAGGTTATGTTAAATTTAAAAGCGTAATGTGAAATATGCTCCAGGTTGTAGGCATGTGATACTCATTATCAATCTGAATGGATAGATAGAAAACTCGTGTATAATTTTAATTTGCTAAAGCAGTTTGAATGAACAGGAAACAGTGAGTGAAATCCTAGCCCCATAGACACTGGGAGTTTTGTTACTGACTTCCATGGAGCCAAGATTTCATCCAGAGTGTTTTGGGGACAGAGAAAGTTAGTGAAGAGAGGAGGTACCAGTAGTCTTGGTGATGCCATTTTGATGTGTATATAAAACTAGGGTTAGTTTTTGTTTTAGGTTTGTTTTGATTTTATGCTTTGCCAAAACAAAAACAAGATCCATTTAGATCTGGGTCCCATTTTTCCTATGTACCCAGAGTTCAGGAGTATGGGTAGATGGTTCTGGTTTTCACCCATTTCTATATGAAATAGGTTTGCAAAACCTAAATCACCCATAGTTTTTTGCTAACCTAACTCTAGTTTAGAGCCAATGCTCAAGTTATTCAAACCCCAAAATTCAGGGGATAATAAAAGCTTCTGTTCAACCCATTTCTATTCTTTCTTAATCTAGTAGTGATTTTTGTTAAAATATATTTTAATTTTATTTCTTCATTCCATATGATGAGAAAATACAAAAATGGGGAAGGCAACTACAAAATATGAATTACACACAGACAAGGCAGCCACCTAGTATATGGTAATCTAGCCTCCTAGCAAATGCTGTGTGCAAAAGTATAGAATGGCTGCATTGGAAGACACTTGTTAGTGTTGTAATGATATCAATAAGTTGACTCATATGGATGGTGAGTTGGATGAAATTCTTTTGGGATTCACACTAGATAAAAATGAATATGCTGTGCAAGTCAGAGCTAGGTAAATCTACTTGATACCGTGACTTACAGCAAATTTAGGGCCTATTCCTATGATCCTGAGCAGCTCACACAGGTCTTGTGAAGGGTTTTGTGCCGTCTCCCCTTCAGTAGACACAATGACAAATCTGTATTGTTACCCAGCATAAGACTGTTCTTCAGATATAGTGGAGGCAGGACTGGCCAACTCAGGCTCCTGGTCTTGCAAATACTCAAACGTTTCGGATTGTGCTTAACTTTAAGTACAGATGTTTTCGGGATCAGGAGCCCTGTTCAGTGTCTTCAAAGGATGCCCCTCTGCATTGACAACGCAAATATTCCTAAGGAGCCTAGAAAACATGAAGCAGTGGGGCTCATTCCTGGTAGTGGCAGGAGGAATGTATCGTCGTCCTGCTGCTGCCCCACTAGCATGTGGGATTTGTGAATCTTTGTATATGGAAGGTTGCTAGTAATAACCTTCCATTATTCCTTCAGCTGAACATGCAGAAGCACTATGAGCAAAATCTTCTCTCTGTCACCCATTTATAGTCTGAGTCTCTCCTTCAAGATGATAACGCTACAGGTTTTTTTAATGACTGTAAATGAGTCTTTGGACCGAGTCGGGTGTATTTGGAAAGGACTGCACTAGTGGTACTGTAGCACATACACGTAGATCACTGTAATAGACCATAAAGCCTGTGATGAACAGGCATCCTGATCCCAGTTGCTTCAATTATTTACTCCAATGTTTCAATTTACAGGTTCTGTTTTTATCTATTCACATCATGAAGTTTCATAGGCAGAAGCAGTGGGATGCTGACGTCTTACATTCAGACTCAGTGTGCTGCACTGAAAATAAGAAGTCCCAGTGTGTATATACACACTTCATATTTGGCATAGCATATAGTTTGTATTTTTCAAAGTTTCGGTATTAAGGATTTAATTGTAGAAACAAGTGTGGTGGGATTTAAATAAATATTGTGTTTTCTTTCACTCACAGTAACAGCTGTGCTTTTCTTTTTTTCTTTCACAGGAAGAAGGTATAGTGAAGGAAATAGACATCAGTCATCATGTAAAGGAAGGTTTTGAAAAGGCAGATTCTTCACAGTTTGAGTTGCTGAAAGTATTGGGGCAAGGTTCCTACGGAAAGGTAACTTTCTACAGTATGTAATGGACCTAATTCTGCTTTAAACAGCACTAGTAGCATCCCATTGAAGTCAATGAAGTTGTGTGGGCAGAAGAGCATATTTGCCATTTACTGGGGTCCTAGGTAAGACAGGTTAGGGTATAATATTTATGGGGCTAGACCCTAAAACATGAATGAGTGTTACGTACTGGTTATAAGAAAAAGAGGACTTGTGGCACCTTAGAGACTAACCAATTTATTTGAGCATAAGCTTTCATGAGCTACAGCTTACTTACTCACGAAAGCTTATGCTCAAATAAATTGGTTAGTCTCTAAGGTGCCACAAGTCCTCTTTTTCTTCTTGCGAATACAGACTAACATGGCTGCTACTCTGAAACCTGTCATGTACTGGTTATGTAATCCACTCCTTGTTGCATTAAACTACCCCCCAGCTGTTCCAGAGGTGGTGATTGTGCTATAATTGCTAGTTAGGGGACACTGGTTGAGATTTTCAGAGAGGCCTGTGGGAGTTAGGCATCCAATTCTCATTGACTTTCAATGAAATTTGGTCGCATAATTCCCTCAAGGCCCTTTGAAAATCCTCTGAAGCTCATGATCTGAGCTCTGGAAATCCCAGGTTTAGTGAGCAAGATAGCAACCATTAAAGTTAAAGCATGGGACTGGGAGTCAAATGTTTCAGCTGCAGCTCTGCCAGTGACACCACGTATGGTCTTGAGCTTTCACTTACCTTCTCTGTGCTTCAGTTTGCCTATCTATAAAATGAGGTTATTGATCGCTTCCTCAGAGTGGTACTGAGAAAACTTTATGGTGCTCAGATGAAAAGCACCATGTAACTGCAAAGTATTATTATCTTTAAGAAAGATAAACTAGTTTTGCATTGTCACTTCCCTTTTTAATGCCCACAAAAGCCATGTTTGTGCACACATTCCATTGCTGTGTGCATATTATACATATCTATTACAAAACAACGTACAAAGACTAGAAACCACAAACCATCACCTGAATGTCCTTTGGTTAAGCATCCACGTTTCTATGGTCTGAATGAATGAGATCTCCAAACCTTTGCAAGTGTGACCCTTGCTAGCAGCTGGTGAGCCTAATTTAAACCAAGTGCCAAAAATCTGTGTTTTAAGTTTATTTTTCTTGGTTTGTTTGAAAATATATTCCTCAGGCCTGAACCCTTGATCAATCTGCCTTACTCAAGAAACTGATGTACTCCTAAAATCAACTGAGTTACACCAGCATAAAATGGAGAAACAGTGTCAACCTGTCTAGAATGGCTCACAACTATGAGTGCTGACCTCGGGGCAGACGCTCCAAACTAGTTGTATGTTCTAGAACATACGATTTCACCAGTCCAATAAAGAAAGAAAGAAAGAAACCCAGTAACAAGTGTGAACTCCTGAAGCAGTATAACTGTCTTACCATGGAGTCACAGACAGTCCCCTTGGCATTCCACTCTATCTTCCCACCCAGGTAAGCTGGACTATGTGATTGTCACTTTACACCAAAAATCACAACAATACTCCGTTTACTCCCAGTCCCAAAGTACCAGTCAGTCACTTACCCCAGGCCATCTGTACTCCGATCTCAAACCAAAGACAATGCCGGTAGCCAATCCTGTAATAAACTAAAGATTTATTAACTAAGGAAAACGAGTTATTTATAAGTTTAAAACAGGAAACATACACACACACAAATGAGTTAGTCTTAAATTTAAAATGGTCATATAGGATTCTATAATAAGCAGCTCTATATGTCCTTTAGGGCTGACCAGGCCAAGCAGCCTGGGGATCTCTTGCTTATGCTCTCTGGACTCGAAGATTCCTCAACAGAAAGATCCTAGTTTCTTCTTGTCAGGGATTTTTATCCCCTGTTCACCAGAATCCAAGCAGATGGGATGAGTTCATGCACAGGTTTTCGCTTTGTGGAGGAAGTTACGAATGCAATCAACAAGGTCTCTGTCCTTTGATGCTACATAATGCTCATTTTGCCTTCAGTGTGTCATCTTGTGTGCAGGATGAACACTTTACCTTAATTAATACTGCTTTTCCTGTTCGAGTTATCCAATGACAGAGGTTTACAATGCAAACAGTATAACTTTATACCATGGGATAACAAAATTATAAGTAGGATTAATGCATGCAGCATCCTACTAACATTTCATGAAGTCTAGACACTAAACACATTCTTATAACATTACTATCTGTTTGGCTTTACCTGTTGGTTAGTATAGTTCAGACTGGTTTCCAGCTATGCATTTGTCAGTGCCCAATGAGGCCTGGGGCCTTGGCATAAACTGGCACCCGGTCTGCCAGTGTCACACACTGATGAAACAGACCCTACAGTTTTATTCCTGAGACAAACTATATTTAGAGGATTTATCCATTTTCCTGAACACTGCAAATGGATAACTATCACTACATCTGTTACAAGCTCCCTGGGATGAGGGAATTTGGAAACCATTCACCAGCAAATGTATGTCCTGCAGAGGAAAGACCATAGTAGTCTTGTGTTCTGAACATCTGCATTTAAAAACAGTCAGACCAAGTAAGCATTGGCTGCTGCAGTGAGATGCAATGTTTAGGGTTTTTTTATTAAAAAAAAAAAAAGGTGAAGGTTGGGGGAGGGTTTGTTCTTTCCAGATCAGCAATTGACAGCTCTCCTTGTTCCAAATGCCCCAGATCTTTTGCTCTGTTGTAGTTTCTCTCTATCAAACTTAATCCCAACTTTTCAGAATATGGGTATAATAAATATTTCAGAAATGGTTCAATGGCAGTCTTAGATTGTACTGCTGTATTTCGTTATTAGTCCTCTAAATTGGCTGTTTACAGTTAACATTTCACAGCTAAAATAGCTAGTCTCTGGTGCCACAGAAATACTTACCAAAGGAAGACTTGGTCTTTTGGGCAAGGTCCACACACTTTAGTGAAGGATCAGCGTATAACGGGGTACAGATTCAACCTAGCTTGGGTTGTGGGTGATTGCTAGTCACCATTCAGGGAGCTGTGTGAAATAAGTTAGTGCTCTCCATACCACAAAAGGCACTATTTGGTAGCTTCAGCTGAGAGGCCTGGGATTGAATGCCCCTGGAAAGCTAGCTGCCTCTTCGCTCCAGTAATGGTCCCCACAGGTTAGGACAGGGTGGGGAAGCTTGCGCGAGGGTTGCTTAGGCTGTTCCGATCTAGGTTTTCATCACCACAATGTCTGAGATCCTTGTTTAACTTTATAGCGCCTTAGTCTCCAGGACTGTCAAGTCACCACTCTTCATGGCTACTAGCTGGAGCCAACGCTCTGCTGCAGGATGCTTAAAGAAACTTCCTTTGTCATCTAGGAGAGCTGCAGGTGCTCAACGTCTCTAAAAATCTTATTTAGGTCTAAACAAGGGTTTAGGTGTCTAGCTTTAGGCAACCACATAGGCTGAGGGGAATTTTGACAATTCTATTTGCATTCCATTGTACCTTTAAGAATAATAAGACATCGTTTTGCAATACAATGCATTTTTGTTCCATGTCCTTTTTGGTTTGATGATGATTTTGATGTCCTCTAAAACAGGACACAATGTTCCTTGACTCATTTTGTTTTGGAGGGGAATGCAGACGAACTGCAATATCCCATGCTACACAACAGCTGACAAATGACTAATAATTTAAGTTGATGATTTTTCTTATTACAGCCATAGGGATATTACTGGCATTGCAAGATTATATAGCATGCAGTGAGGGGTTTGGGGTTTTTTTGTTTTGTTTTTGCCCAGTACTTCGACCATTCCAGTTTAATATTCCTGCAGGTATAATGTGCTGTGCTGCTGAAAGTGGAACGCCGCTTATGAAACATTATATCTAATACTGTCCACTTGATTGGGAGTTAGATACAATGCCAATGTTTAAAGGTGAATAACAATGCTGGAACTCTGGGGTTTAGCCAAACTTGCTTATGGTGATTTATTTTTTTTCACTTCCTATCCCCATAATGCCAGACACTATTTCTGAGTAGAGTTGAGTGAAAAACATACAAAAAAGGTTCCATGAATAGTCTGAACTTTTAAATGATTAGCTTTGGCAATGTCCACTCCTCTTTCTGTCTTTGATTGCCATGAATATTTGAGTAATTGAGCTTAATTTAGCAAGAATGTTAATGGAAAATCTATTTTTAAAATTGTATCTGTAGAAGCCAGATTTTACACTTTGCACACACAATTATTGGTGGTAGCATTGTTTGCATGTTTATCAGATCAGGAAACGAAATACCAAATAACACATCTGTCCTATCCAAATATTTTTATATTCCACTTCACTTCTAGTATCTGTCCAGCAGCAGAAGTCCTGAAACACCCTAGAGAACAGCTTCTCAGATTGTATTTCTGGCCCTTTTGGAACCAGTAAATACTGGAAATCGACTGAAAGACCCTGCTCTTTTGAGATTTCTTGCCTTATTGATAGATCAAGGAGGTATGAATAGTTTGGAAAGCTTCAAACTAAGTTTTGGGAGGCTTATTGTGACAGAACTAAATTGTTTTTCTCCCTTTCCCTTTTGTCCCAAAATATCATCTGGGACTAGATAGGAAGAAACTGCTGTACAGAATAAAACAAAACAAAATATTTTGTAAATTTGCAGAGTCAAAAGGTGTAATAATAGGAACCTTTCACAGATGTACACTGGGCAAACTATCTGTATTGTAATGAACAATTCATTCATCAGATGTAGCCTTTTTTCTGTTCATGAAGTTTTCATAAGCAGACTTTGATCTTTAAAATTTTATTTGCTTACAGTTTTACAGGACTTATGCACACACATGTCAGCTTCTGGATTGTTAATGACCTATTCACTTCAACTACATGCTTAGCTTGTCAGTCATGAATAATGAATCACATAGTATGGTTTCTTCTTCCTGAGTCAAATGATTAAACCTTTTTAAATGGGCTGAACACATCTGGGCACAAATGGCAAATATCTTGTTTTCATGCAAATACAGCAAGTTATGCGAAGAACAGCCATTCTCCAGACGTTCATGTGAATAGCTGTTTAGAAATCAAACAAATGTTTGCAAACACTATTACTATTCGACCACTTTAACTGGATGTGTAAAGAACAACTGATCATATTAAACATGTTACCTTTAGCAGAGGGCAATAGGGTAGAAAATGAAGCTTACAAGGGCCAGCTAAGCCAATTGTTTGTGAAGTAAAAACTAAACACTTTGAGTATTAACTTTTCCTTAGAATTCTTGCCGTCTCACTATCCATTACTCCATCAAATTCAGCAAATGCTCTCCCCTCAAACCACTGTACTTGATTACATTGGTGTCTTACTTTTGTAGGTATTTCTGGTGAGGAAGATCAAAGGATCTGATGCTGGCCAGCTTTATGCCATGAAGGTACTTAAGAAAGCCACTCTGAAAGGTACGGATTAAGACACTGGGCTGAACACGCTCTCTCCTGTACTATAGAGTTTACTTTTCTTGTGATGTGTAGGATCTGTTGGCATAGTTTTGTAGGATCTAAGAACACAAAAGCATGTTCTTATCAGCCTCCACCATTCTGTTTCCTCATTTTGGACTGAACTTACTAAAACTCCACACTTTCAGTGCAACATTGTGCCTTTAAATAATTGCACCCAAAATTTTGCACCTCCAAGTAATTTGCAGGATCAAATAATAGATGTGGAAATGTTATTTAACAGCACCTGAAAATCCAGCAATAGGTGCAGGTGTTCTCATTTGCACCTGCAATAAATTGCAAGCAGTGTTATTTGTGGGTACCAAATTAGAGGGCAAGTTCTGAAAATTGGTCTCTAAAATTTTTACATCAAAAAAAAGTTTTTCATGACTGTTTAGCCATTTTAAGAAAATGCTCAATATTGTTGTCACTATCACTAGAAAATGCAGTTATAGTTTGTGTTCATAATAACTAAAATGCTTAGGCAAGGAAACCTGTGACTGATTGCTACTCAGATTGAGCTATGGTACCTATTACAGATGGAACAACAGTTTCTCTCTCTCATTATTTACTTTTTTTGGTAACAAAGACAGACTTGGTTGCCATATGGAAAATTAAAATGTTGTTCTGCTTTCTCATTTTCTTCTAGTTATAGCTATGGTTGAGAGAGAGTTCAGTGAGTCAATTCACTTGTGGTTTTTTTCCTTTGCTGGCCATACAGTATGGGAGCCAGAAATTATATAAGGAATTTGGTATTTGCTAATTCTGCATGACTTATTCACTATTTTAATAAGGATTATTTATAGTTGTTCTGGGGGGGGTCACTTTTAATTTGTATCCGAGTGTTGGCATCTCTCTGAAATACATTTTATGTAAATAACTCACTATTGGTAAACAGTAACCCTATTGAATGATTGTTGCCATATATCTGAAAACTCACAGGCTCAAACTTTCAGGAATGGCAAATTATTTCTGGGTGCCTAACATCTCTCAATTTGGAGATCTACAATCAGCAGTAATTCTATGTAATCTTGGTTATGACTAACAGCACAGTAGATGTCAAGAGGCTGATGACATGACACAGCAATTCTCTTGAGCACCCACCGAAACGTGCAAATAGGAAACTAAGTACTCACGTAGTGCTATCTGACGTCAAAGCCATTTACAAACATTAATTACAAATGCTGAAGCAGCTGCTGATCTTTCCATTTAGAGTTTATATAGAAGAGTTTGCACTCTGCTGTTTTCCTGGAATAAACATCCATCTAAATATTTCTGCTTCCAATGGATAAATATTTGTGTGTGTGTGTATATATATAATATATACACAAAGTGTATAATGGAGAAAATCCTCAAGTCTTTATTCACAGTCAAATTCTGCAGTACCTCAACTATTCAAAACTGAGAGTTCTCCACCTGTGAAAGTTATTTCTGCTCTGTGAGAAATCTGAGGAAAGAACACCTAGCTTGTTACTATTTTTGTGAACCCACGTAACCCTTCCCCTGTGAGAATTTTATTTTTTCACATCTCTGTATAGATGCGTAAGGTCCTTCCAGCAGGAATGACCTCTGGCTTTCTGTCTTGTGCAGCACCAAGTACACGCTCACCACTTAACAAATAATAGGATATATTGTCTTCAATGTTGTAGCTGTGTTGGTCCCAGGATATTAGGCTGTGTCTACACTGCCACTTTCAGCACTAAAACTTTAGTTGTTCGGGGGGGTGAAAAACACACACCCCTAAGCGACAAAAGTTTTAGTGCTGAAAAGCGCACTCCCGGCAATAAAGCTAATACCCCTCATTCAGGGTGGTTATTTTTTATTGCCAGGGTAGAGCTCTTCCCCCAGCAATAAAGCATGACTACACTGACCACATCACAGCACTACCATGGCCACGCTGTAATGTGGGCAGTGTAGACATACATACCCTTAGAGAGACAAGGTGGAACAGATTGCTTAGCATAAGTAGCTAACACACATTTCAAGGGGTCATTCAAGGTGAAGTGGCCTGTTAACATCTTTCCAGTCATGAAGCAGGGAGGGGGAAAACCAGGGTGAGTTTGTTGTAATAAGCCATAAATCCAGTGTCTCTCTTCAGTCTTCGATTTTTAGTGTCTAACAAAAAAACAAGCTCACAGCTCGTCTTTTGAAGGCGTTGTGCAAGTTTATTTTAAGGATGAGGACTGGGAGGTCAGATGAGTGATCACTTTGTTTCAGAGTAGCAGCCGTGTTAGTCTGTGTTCGCAAAAAGAAAAGGAGGACTAAGGTGCCACAAGTACTCCTTTTTTTGAAAAGTGTTGACCCACAGGTGATACGGTGTTTTTGTCTCTTATGTTTCTGTGTGAGTTCCTTTTGAGCATGTAGTAATTGTCTGGTTTCACCCATTTTGTTGTTGGGGCATTAGGACACTGGATGTGGTACACCACATGGTGAGAGAGGCACATGTAAGACCCATGCATCTTGAAAGGTGTGTTATGGGGGGTTTTGACCCTCATAGCAGTGGAGAGATGTCTGCAGGTTTTGCATCTGTTCTGGCAGGGTCTGGTGCTGCTTTGAGTTGGTGTCATAGACACTGACTCCGTGGGTGCTCCAGGGCTGGAGCACCCATGGGGGAAAAAATGCTCAGCATCCACCAGCAGCCGCCTTATCAGCGCCTCCCCCTCCCTCCCTGAGACTACCGCCCACCGCAAACAGCTGTTTTGTGGCCTGGAGGAGGGATGGGGGAGGAGCAAGGACACAGTGCGCTCGGGGGAGGGTGTTGGGTGGGGAGGGGGCAGAACTGGGTGTGAAGAGGAAGAGTGGGGGTGGAGAAGGGGCGGGGCAGGGATGGGGCCTTAAAGGAAGGGGTGAGTGGAGGCAGGGCCTGGGGCAGAGCCAGGGGTCGAGCACCCCCAGCACTTTGGAAAGTCAGTGCCTGTGGTTGCTGTGTCTTGGTCTGTGGGGAGCTTGCTTCTGATGATAAGCTTGGAGAGATAGGGAGGTAGTTTGAAGGCCAAAAGAAATTCTACAACCTCATCCCTCATGAGCCCACCCCAGTGTCCTTCTGCATGCTTCTCAAGATACACAAACAAGGGAACCCAGGGAGACCCATCATACCTGGTCCGGGCACTCTTACTGACAGAATATCAGGACTCATAGAAACCATCCTCAAACCACTCACTGCACAAATGTCCAGCTTCCTCCAGGACACAACTGACTTACTCCACAACATTAACAAAATCTCTCAGAACGCCATCCTTGCCACCATGGATGTCACCTCCCTATACACCAATATTCCTCACAATGACTGCATCACTTCCTGCCTCAGATATTTACAAAACAATGGACCACACTTAGATATCCACTCCAAACACATCGCCAGACTCATCCACTTCATCCTCACCCATAACAATTTTACATTCAACAGATGCTTCTGGTTCCCCTCCCCCTGCATCTGCACAACATCACCATGCTTCCTAGAATACTCCACAGCTGCTTTTCTGACATTTAGTGGTAACACCTGGAAGCTGTGACAGGAAAGTGATCTCTGCCAGATCCCACCTGCTCCATTCAGATTGGTCACACTGTAGAGATCCCAGTCAGAGGGTATGTTTTCACTGACTTTTGTGCCTCGAGCTACTTGACCCTAGGGATCAGCATAGGGTAAAGAACAAAAGTTTCTAGCCCAAATCAAAGATGTGGGGAGGTCCACATTAGCTTCTTACAGACATGTTATCTACCTCGAATTAACTGGCAATCAATTCACTTGAGTTACAAAAGTGAAGACCGCCGAGAAGCGTGGTGTAGGAAGGGAAATATTAAAAGAGCTGCAGTGAGAGCTGCTGTCAGTGAAGTTCCAAAGAATTTGGCACAGAGAATAATAGTTTTGACAGCTTAATTTGATCTTTAAGTGAGTTTTAAATTATTGCTGCCCACCCACACTGAGCAGGGCTGGAAATCCGTCCAATTTGAGATATTTATTACCATGTCAAATGATGGGCACAAATGCATGAGTGCTTGCTAGCTATAATTCAATAATTACTGGCAAAAGCATGGCTGCCCAGACTCTTCTCCCCCCCCCCCCCCCTGCACTGAACAGCATAAAGCTGAATGTCACCTTCCCATGAGTAGGGTTAAGATTTTTGTCATGGATATTTTTTAGTAAAAATCAGGGACAGGTCACGGGCTTCGATGAATTTTTAGTTATTGCCTGTGACCTGTCCCTGACTTTTACTAAAAATATCCCTGACAAAATGGGGAGGGAGGAGTGTCCCACACGTACAGCTGAGAGGTCCAGGGGAGCCCGTGGACTGGCGGCAGGGCAGCTGGGGGGAGGGCCCACTGGCCACAGCAGCCTGGTGCTCCGGGGGGGATTCCCCCCTGGCCGTCTGCGACAGCTGAGAGCTGCCACGGGGCTGAAGTGAAAATGTTAGACATATCTGGAAATCGTGGATTCCGTGACATAATCATAGCCTTACTCATGAGTAGCCCTTGCAACCCCAAAAACCACATTGGTTGTTTTTCTGTATGAAGGTACATTTACAACAACATAAGGGAAGTGGGGCAGGGGGAAATGACAGTTTAGAAAAAAAAAGTGGGGGGGATGCAGAAAACCTTGCTGTTTGGATTAGTCTGAGGAACTAGTTTGTGGGTAAAGAAGGTGCGGCATTTAATGCATGTTTTAACCAAGGGTTACCCACTTATGATGAAACTCTTATTCTTCGTCAGTAGATAATCTCTCCAGGCTGTTATGCCTCATTAGTCAGCATGATCCCAGAGTTCAGTGACAGCAAAGGTTATTGTAAAAACAGTACAGAACCTTTCACCTTCAGCAATCAATAGTTTCCAGCATTCACAGCTCCCAATGAGCCAGCTCTGTACCAAGAGAGCCCTGAAGTTCAAATATATCTGTGTATAGAGAAACATAGTATTTAGAGATGGAAGAGATCTATTAGATAACGGAGTCCCTCCCACTGCAAGGGCAA